TTCATATGGGCATTTGGTCGAACACTTTTCGCATCGAGACAAGTTCAGGCCATCTCCCCTTTCCAACCCAGCAGCCTCGTATTTCGAATTGATAAGAGAGCGATAAATAGAGGGTTAATCATATTTTTAGCCTATATATTGCCGAGAATCATCAGTAATACTAATTAGTTGAGAATCAGAAAAAATTTTCACCTGTTTACTACATGAACCTTGATATGAAATTTGGAAGCACCTCTGCCTGAGACCCCTTGTCTTTTCTAACTTCTAAATATAAGAACGAGTTGCTTCTTGCTGTAGCTGCTTCCCATGCTGCCACGTGGCAACCGGAAGGAAAAGCTTGCATTTGTTTTGCACTTTTGCTGCCTCTAACGCTGTTCTCTTATTATGGATGGGAATAGATGGGAATGCAAGTGGGCTACAACATGAGGAAGAATTGTGCCTTCGACTCCAAATTTTCGGTGAGGAAGCCCTGGCTCTTGGTATGACAAAAAGAGAGGGATGAGTCCAATAATTTTAGCATTTTTTTAACACATACATGTAGTTGTAAATAGAGGTGGTAATACGGATAAATGGTTCATAATTGATTTTGACTTAATGGATAGTGGATGAAATTTATTCAATTTATTTAAATTCATTTAATAAATGGATGGATCTAAATGAATTAAATAAAAATTAATTATCCATTTATAATCCATTTAAATATTATTTACTCATTGGAGCAATCAGTATCTCTGACTGTGAAACGATATATACAAACATAGTAAAACACAAAACAGCCTTGAGGGTGGGAAGGTTTGTGCCTTGATTTGTATAATTATGGGAGGCTGGCCATTTTTCTGTAGGCCCTCTCCTTCAAGCATTCGATCCACGTCCGACATCTTAGGCCGGTGGGCGGGGAGGTATTGAGTGCAAAGTAGAGCAACTTGGAGCATCTCACCCACCTCAATCCGGTCACAGTTGATACCCAATTCTCTATCCACCGAAACTTCAATTTTATTTGATTTTTAAGTAAATGGATATATATGGTTTTTATGGATAATCCATATAAATCCATTTAATTTAATAGTTTTACTTTGCTCAACCATTTAAAACCAATACTATAAATGGATAATCCAAATCCATTTAATTATGGATTATATGGATGGATAAATGGATTTCAATCCAAATTGCCACCTCTAGTTGTAAATGTAGATTTAGGTCTTGTTTGATAACTCAATTTCATATTTAAATTTAATGAATTCAAATTTTAATACGTTCAAACATGTTGATAACCAAAAATTAAATATCTGAATTAATTAAGTGACACTGAATTAAAATTCAAGCAAAACTTGCTCCTAAAAATAAGTGATAAACTATTCACTTATTACTGAATATAATGTACACTCAAATATATTTGATTTAATACTTAACAATTAAATAACTTAATAGATTCAGATTTTAAACTTCAGATTTCAATTTTTTATTTCAATTTTATCAAACGCACCCTTATTCTAAAATAAATAATATTGAACTTTATATTTGAGTTTGTTATGAAAGTTGGCATATTTGTTATTTTGGTTTTGTCTCTGAAATTGTTGCATCCATGAATATATGCCAATTTTGTTAATTGTTGCATACAACAATTGCATGCTATTTTTATTGAATTCCCCTAGATGGAGTGGTTGAATAACTAAAAATGATTTGGGCCTAACAAAAGATGTTTAGTATGTTGATTAGGTGTTTTAAATTTTAATAAGTTGGATAACCTGGTCATTAGTTTCAATCCTATACAGTAAAACCTATCCTTGCTGGTTTATCCGGAAAAGGGGCTGGAATAGTGTATTTTACTGTTTTGAGTAAAAAATCTGGGAGTCCCTAAACTATCATTATTGTCGACTTTTGGCCCCTAATTTATTTTTTGTCTCCAACTAGCCCCTGAGCAATTAAATGTGTATGTTTAAGGACTTCTAGCCATTTTAGACATAAATCCAGACAAAACTAAAGGGCAATTTTATCCAACATTAATCAAAAGCATCGAGAACTTAATCAAAAGTATCGAGGACAGGAATAGAAATTCTAAGAAAAGAAAACCCTTTATTTTTCTTAAACATTTCATCAAATTTCTCCATAAAATTTCCAAATTCATTGATTTCATACTTGAGAGGGACATGAAAAATCTAATGAAATCAATGAATTTAGACATTTTGTGGAGAAATACGATGAAGAGTTCAAAGAAAATGAAGAATTTTTTCTTTTCAGGGTTTCTATTCCTACTCTTGATGCTTTTTATTAAGTTCTCAATGCTTTGATTTGGATCGGACAAAAATGCCCTTGGATTCTGACAAATTTTATGTTTAAAATGGTCAAAAGCCCTTAAATTATACACTTTTAATTGTTTAGGGGTCAGTCGAAGACAAAAAATGGATCAAAAACCAAAAGTAGACAACGATGACAATTTAAGGGACCTTTTACTCTTTACTGTTTACACATGTTTTCTCTACCTAAACATGTCTCTGTCTACTTAATCGGCATGGTCATGAACGACTCAATGTCTCGATTGTCTCGAGCCATCCAACTTTTTCCCAAAAATTCATCACGATGTGATGTTTACTGTTTTTAATCAAAATTTTGGTCATTTGTTCATCAACTTTTTGAGCCTTTTGGTCATTTGTTCTTCTCATTGCTCCCTGTCTTCCTGCTTTTTCTTATTTTGAAGCTCAAGATGTAATTGATATATATTTTATGTTTAACTCTTTTATTTGCATGCTTGAGGAATCAGATTTGCTAGGATATTTTTCCTTTGTTGTTTTTCCTTTTTGTGATTTTTATGTAAATCAGCAAAATTGTTTTCTTTTGTTACGTTCTTATGTTTGATTTCCACCAAATTGCTCTATAAAATGATCTTTTTATTTATTTATTTATTTTGGTAGATGAGTTGATCATTTTATGATTTTGAGACTACTATGCCTACTATTTTCTTTCCCTTTTTTTTTTTTAAAAAAAATCCTTCAGTTATTAGTTGTTGTTTTAGTTTGGACCACCCACTTGCCTAAAGGTAAGAAATGGATCGGTACAAGAATCGCAACCATTGCAACTCACTTTCTTTGCCTGATTTTTGTCATGTATAAGCCTCTATTTCTCTGGTGAAATTTTTTCTATAATTTTGTTTCCAACTAGAAGTTACTTTGCTTGAATGCATTTTGCTCTGGGCATCACAAAATGTCTTCAAATGGTAGGTCTAGCTCTTAATGGAAAAAAAAAAGTAGTTCTTATTAATGGAAAAAAAGTAGTTCTGGTTAGCTTGCAATTTCTTTAGCCATAATAGAAATTGGATTAATCTATTCTACACTGACAGTGTATATACTGTCAGCATTGGATGAATGACAACTATGCAAAATTAGTGTATACACTGTCAGTGTATATAACATTTACTCATAGAAATTATATCTTATTATGGATAGAAGATACAAATTTCTTTTTGTAATAAATTGCGGATATATGTATTTGTATTTTCCTTATAATTGCTGCAAGTTTTGGCCATGAATATACAGGATATCTTTTTCCCCCCTCAAGCGTAGGTTTTGTGCAAGTTACAATCGATGAGGTTTCTAAAGGAGTTGGATTATTTTCTGTTTCATAACATCATGAGTTGAACATTCAATTCACTATATATATTTTAATTTGATTTCTTGATTTTTAACAATTATACAAAATTTTCAAAGCACTACAACAAAAATGGTCTTTTCTGACATGTCTATAAGGACACTTGCTGGTTTGTGCCATTATAACACTTCTATCGTGACACTAGTTATCAACTCAATAATATATACTCTAATTTTTTTTATTTTATTTGACATAAAAATAATAATGTACCTTTAGACTCCCTATTATGACACTTGCGGAAATGTGAGATACACCCAAAAAAAATTAAAACACAAAACGACGTCGTTTGATTTTGGTGGAAGATCCCTTTGCCAAAACACTTAGTGAAATCTCAAAATTTGATTTTGCCTCTCAGTGAAATTTTGCTTCTTCTCTATCTCTCGCAGAAACTCTCTCTCTCGGCAAACTCTTGGCCAAAATTTTGCTTTCCCGCAGAGTTTTTTCTGTTGAATCTCTCCGCAATCAAACTACCCTTGCTTTCCCATTGAAGGGATGTAATTGCATGATAAATTTTTGCCCTGAATTGATTTCTCTCGGTTGCCTAAATTTTTGCCCTCCGCCTCTCTCGGCCACTCTCCTCTCCTCTGCTCCCTACCTCCGCCGTCCCGTTGCTCCTACTCCTTCCCTCTCATCATTAGGTTTAGGTTCGTCAAAACCAGAAAATGGAACAACATGACATCGAAAAGGACGAGTTCGGATTCTCCAGAAATTATTTCTTAGCAAATGAATTAGGCAATTCCGGTAAGAAATCCAGCCGCATGCTCGCAGATATCGATGTCGTCGATGAACAGGTTATACTCTGCAATTTTTCTATATGTAAATTTGGTTGGTGGTTTCCTGCAAAAAGAGTTACCTTTTTGGGCATTTTTCCTTACTGAATAATGCAGGAGCTAAGGGAAGCCCTCGCCCATCTCCCCAACATTTCTAATTTCCAAACTGGTGTCCGACGAAAATTAGGGCTCTGAGTCTGAGAGAGACCTTAGATTTGGGGCAGTATTCGCAGCATCTGCAGTTATTCTTTCTTCGATTTCAGCGATCAGCAGCAAATGTCGCCTCCTCCTGGACCCTACTCCGGCACCAGCACTCTCGCCTTGGTTAACCATCCACCTCCGCCAGCTTTAATTTCTCACAATTTCATTGATGTCTGATCTAATTTGGATTTTTTTTTCGTTTTCGTATAACTGGTGGCAGGTGGCTCGTGCTTCCGCCTTCACGTTTGGAGTCGTCTATGGAAATTTGAAGCTTAAGTATCTTAAGGTATTATTCTCTATTATTTTTCTATTTTTTGAAAATTTTTTGAAAATTTTCTTTTGTTTACTTTTGTCTGATTTTGAGTTCTTTTTGGGTAATTATTTTTTGTCATTTGGTGATTTGGGTTTACATAGTCAGAAATGAACATGTAAGGATATCTGTTCACTTTTCTGTTCTGCACTTTTGTTCACTTGAAAACTGCTTTTCTGTTCTGCTGTAAGAATATCTGTTCCATAGCACCATATGTCAGAGAGAGCTGTAATGCTATTGAGATTTGTACAAATTCATTAAACATAGGATAAATAGTTGATAATGCAAATATTTGTACTTGTCATGAGTTCAATTTGTGTGACAAAATAATGTATTTTCATTTATTTTATTTGAGTATTTTGTTGGCTTTGGGCTTTCATGACACCGTGACTCTCAGGCCAGAATATTGCAAAACCCATTCTGGCTACGTATCCTTCTCAAATGTCTCAAATGGCCCTGCTTCTGATCATTCCGTTGTGAAGATATCAAGTAGGAGTCATGTGTTTGTGCATGACTATCAGAGGCCTACTTACAAATCCTGGGGTGACGTGACTCAATACTATAAGAGAAGAAAGGAAGCTTATTGTGCTGAACGGACTTCTAGTTTGCCTAGTTTGACAGATGGAAGTGATCACAAATTTAGACAACAAAGCACTGATAATGACTTATCTTGTCCATCTACTAGTAATTCACCTCTCTCGTTCAGAAATGTTCATGATTCAGCTTGTTCTTCAGGAAACCTTAGCCTACCGAATATCGTAAGTGTGAATACAATTGCACCAGATCGTGAGATGAAGGACAACTTTTCAAGTAGCAGACAGTCTTATACATCAAATAGCCAACAAGCAGATATACACTGGAAAATCTCTCCGAGGACAATGCAGTTACTTCCAAAGTCTTCCCAACCTAAAATTTCCCTGCCAAAATTATTCGAAGAACAGAAAGAAAAGTATCCCTCAATTGATAAAGGCAGTGCTCATAATGTAACAAAAAGGGAGGCTGCTGCTGAAAAGTCTGTTGGTGTTGACAAAATAAATGGAACCCCCACAGGAAAAGGATCTGTGGAACCAGAAGCTATTATCCAGTCAAATCTTCATGAGAGGCTTGGTTGCATTTATGACAAGGTTCTTGTGGTTGATACTGTCTCTGCTGCAAAGGAAGTAGTTGGTATGCTCACAAATCAATACAGGCATATGGTCCATGCATGTGACACGGAAGTATGTTTTTCATTTGACTTGCTTTTAGACTATTTTACATTTGCATACAACCAGTTGAATTCTGTACTTTAATTATCTTATTCGCTTAATATTCATGTTCTCTCCAGTAGCATTCAATTTTTTTTTGGGAGCTCATTTTACTGGTTTCTGCTAATGTCTAGGTATCAAAGATTGATGTTAAGCAGGAAACACCAGTTGATCATGGAGAAATTGTATGCTGCAGTATTTATTGTGGACCGGAAGCGAATTTTGGAAATGGCAAGTCTTGTATCTGGGTAGATCTTCTTGATGAGGACGGGAGGAATCTTTTGGCTGAATTTGCTCCTTTTTTTGAAGACCCGTCAATTAAAAAGGTAAAGATTTTTTGTATGTAATTCTGTGTGGGGCTCTTTGTTGCTCATCAGTTCTTCGAATGATTATATGCCATGTGGGGAACTGCACTGGCTTGTTTTTCTGTAGGTGTGGCACAACTATAGCTTTGATAACCATGTTATAGAGAATTATGGACTTAAACTTGCTGGTTTCCATGCTGATACAATGCACATGGCCCGATTGTGGAATTCATCAAGAAGATTAGAAGGTGGGTATTCTCTGGAAGCCCTTACGGTGATTTTTCTGTCATGTCCGATGCTAGGTTATGCCTTGGTGAAGAGTTGATTGGTAAGGTGTCAATGCAAAACCATCTTTGGGAAGAAAAAAATATCTGTTCACTTGAAGCTCCTGAATCTGTGCAGAGCAATGGGTGGTGTAGAAAGGTTGAAATTGAATGGGGAAACCATGCCCTATCCAACAGAGTTCAGGAAGCTGTCCAGGCAATGTTAAACTTTGTCAAAAGAGAGGGCCCCAAGGGATGGGATGACCCATGGAGTTAAATATCAACTTTTTTTTTCCTTTTTTTTTGAATTGTTATGTCATTGAATTCAGACAATGGTGGTCCTCCTTTTAGTTGTTTGATTTTTTTATAGGTACGGAATGGCATCTATAGCGAAGTTAGTAGATTAGTATAGTTTCTTTTCTTCTGAAAGAACTTAGAGTTTCAATGGAAAGTTCAAAGACTTGTATATCTGACATAATTGTGGCATGAATGAAGTGAAGGATTATTTGTTGTTCTACATTGGATCTCGGTGTTATTATATGGACCAAGTTAGTAGAGTAACCCATCCTTTTGACATGTGTATTGTCTATGTTTGACTAGTGGAACATTGCTCCTTTTAGCTAAATTTTTCCTTCTCTTTTTTCTTCAATTGGGCCAAAAGGATTAAAATATCCTTACTTCCTCAGAAAACCTACTTCATCTCTTCTTCTTCTTCTTCTTGTGATAGCAATTGCTGCCATTTCTCACCTTTTTTATTTTTTATGTTTTAAAACTAATCTAACTAAGATTGTTACCATGTTTTTTTCCCCAAGGTGATTAGTTGCATAGCAAGGAGAGGTCCTTATCATTTGTTTGAGTCCGTTTTACATTTTCTTTTCTTTCTTGTCTTCTTCATCTCTTATCTCTCATGTTTGCTCTATTTTTCGATCTTAATGTTATAGCCAACAGACATTTATTTGCTGAATTTGTAGGATGACATTATTTATTTGGTATTTCTTCATGGATAAAAAGTGAAATATTAAAATATGTAAAAAACTCTTAGGATTCATTTTATGCCAGTGACCCTCTTCCATGAAGAATAAAGAAAAAATTTATTCTTTTCTTTTCTCCTCCCAGAATTTGATTTCTTACTTCACATTTTTTCCTTTTTTTTGTTCTATTTTGTAATTAACTACAATTCTTGTGTACTTTTTAGAAGAAAAGACATATCATATAACGCTTCCACCAAGATAATTCTAGCTAGGTATTCTTCTATCTCTGCTTCTCTCTATTTCTTTTTTTCCCCCATTTTGCAATCACATAGGAAGTTCATATAGTATAATAATATGTTGAGGATTTGATTCTTATCATTCCCATAGAAGGTCTCAAGGCTTGATGGTGTTAGGTGTGAAAAGGCATAAAATTTGTCAAAGAAAAAGCATTGTAATTGCCCTGAAAAAAATCCTTACTTAAACATAAAATTGTATATTAGCATGTCCTATTTATCCTTGCATAATAATTGTAGCAACTAGCTTGGGAAAAGACCTAATTTTTTCATATAGTGTAATCTTGTAGGTTGAAAATTTTGCATAATATATAACTCTTAGGTAATTGAGACAAGTTTTCCTTATGATTTGCTAATAGTATTCATACACCTGAATTGTTAACTATTGAAATTTGGACATATTTATTGATTGTGTCAAAATAGGATTGTTGTGAGAATGCAATCAAAATTGATAGGTAGCTGCTTTATACCAAAATTTTGGTCCTAAATGGATGTTTGTAATTTTAATACATGGTTGTGCTAATGTGTAATATGTATCAATCTGGTTGGCATATTGACGTGGAACTATGAACTCATAATGGGAATAATGTAGAAACTTTTCCATCATTGGATTCATAACTAAATACTTTCAATGAGATGTCAAACATATCACATTCTTATTCACGTACATATCATCTCTTTTATTCAGTTTTCCCGGCCTTTCTCATGTAATCTAATATTTTCCTGTTTTTCTTTCAGAATGCAGCCTCCCCATTTGCCACAAATCATCCTTGCTTTCGAATTAGTGTCTTATTCATGAACTGAGCCTAAATAAAATTTTACAATTTGTGTTTAGAAGTAATTTGTGTAATACTATTTTTGAATGCAGTAATTTTCTTTTTATGATTTAAGAGAATATCTCCTGCTTGCTAACACAGACTTTGATTGCTTATTGTCTATTTTTCAGCTTCTTGGAACCTCTTAAAGAGACTTGTAGAGACCTTTTTTGACGCATTGAAGTTCCAGGAAATCGAGTTTAGTTGTTGTCAGTTGAGGTTATTATCAAACTTGCTATGGTGACTTTATTATTGAGGAAAAAGAGAAGGATATTACCAATAATGTAGGCATGTCTTAATTTATTTCATGATTTACGACTCTGAATTTTTTTGGTTCATTTTGTTTGTATGACTTGTTCGTACTCCTCATAGATGTGCAAAAAATTATATTGGAAAAGTAAGATATTTACTGCATAGTCTAGCCTAATTCAGCATCAAATTGACAAGTTTTGTTACTAAAATCAGATAGTTGAACAACTCAAGTTTACTATAGAGTTCACCACTATAGCAAATGTGAAACTTTGTTATGCTTAATTTTGGTTCCTATGTTACAGACTTACAATTCATTTTGTAGAAATTTTATTTTGTTATCAAATTTTTATCAGTGATTCTATCTTTAGGCGGGCCCAAGATGTGTTTTGCACAATAAAAGAAATGTAAAATTAGATTTCAGAATCTTTTTGCTTGAAATGGTTCTATAGCTTTGTACTATTATCCCTTTTTTAATTGTCCTTAATGATAGCATAGTTAGAGTTTGGTACAATTGCTATGCATTAAAGTGGGCATATCAGAACCATATGGTTGAAGGTTTAGGTGGGCCCAAGATGTGTTTTGCGCAATAAAAGAAATGTAAAATTAGATTTCAGAATCTAGAGCTTTGTACTATTATCCCTTTTTTATTGTCCTTAGTGATAGAGTAGTTAGGGTTTGGTACAATTGCTACGCATTAAAGTGGGCATATCATGACCATATGGTTGAAGGAGTTGGCAGCATTTTGTTAATTTGACTAGTTCATTGCGATTATAAAAGGATTGCAGTTGGTGGACAGTGTTACTCAACAAAAAATTGTTAGAAAATTCAATTTTGATTAGAAACTTTTTTGGCAATAAAAAAAATGGTTGGATCCTAATTTGTATATATAGATCTGGAAATATGATAGTTCATATTTTTATCTAAATTTGCAATTTATATTCTAGAGGTAAGGGATAATGTTCTCACCTTTAGGTAGGATTTAAATAGATGAATTAGTTTCTTCTCTCAAAAAGAAAGAAAAATGTGCAAGTTTTTAGTAATCTTTATTGACGTTGAAAATTGTGCTAGGTCTTAATGGCTTTCTAAACTTTTTTTTATTATTATTAAAGTACTAGAAACATTATGACTTCTTCTGATTAAGTTACAACTAAAGTTATACTGCTATTAATCCAGCAATGCACTCATAGTACATTAACTCTCTCTCCTTTTAGAGTATCGTCATGATACTAGTTCAAAATTCTTTATCCAAATTACAATAAATAGGGGGCTGGCTTCATAAATGGATTTCTCTTCACAACAAATTTTGAGAAAAATGTTATTTATACTCTGTATTTTGTTAATTATATTCCTACTATTTGTTTCATTATATAGTCAAATAAATAAAAATTATAAGATAACAATGATAGTAAAATTGTGATGAATAAAAATTAAAATGCAAATAAAATTTGTCAATTTTAATTGTTTTAATGCTCAATTTTTCTCCTACATTTTTATTCATTAGGTCTGTTTGGATTGTGAATTATTAGAGATATTTTTACTGTAGCACTTTTTGTGATGTGATGTATGTGAGATAAAAAGGTAATTGGGAAGGTAAAAAGGTGTATTGGAAATTGTAATGATGATGTAAATAAATAAATTTTGGGAAATAAAACCTAATCCAAACAAACCAATTATGTGCCAAAATAATTTGATATTATGTGTTCAATTAAGTTTCTAGGGAGCTCAAGCTATGATTTGCACGTACCTTTAGTATCCATCCACCACAAGAAGTGAAATTTCACTGCACATCCAAAACGCTAGATGGTACATTTTTGCCAAAATTTCACTGGATTGTGACTGCGAATCTGTGATTACAAAACCAAGAGGCCTCAATCAGCATTGCAAATTTCTCCCTAAAAATCAGCAACGTGATAGCAACTGGTGTATTGATTTGTGGTAGATGGAGCGCCTAGGATGATGTGCAACTGACTGACGACGAATATGTTATGTCCAGCACGTCATAGTACAGTTTGGCATAATAAGTACTACGACTACTCCCAATTATTCACCCCTCAACTACGACTTTATTACTTGTGGGTCCCGTTTAAATTGCTCTTCTTGGGCCGGTTTAATTGTTAACTCAATTTGTTTCTAATCTAATTACTTTTAATCTTTGAAAAAAAAAAAAAACTATGACTTTGTTCTTTCACTTTATGTGAATGACAGACACCACCAATCACCGAGGTCCATTCGTATGAATATTTATACTCGCAAATTGCTCGACATCTTGGGTGAACTACGACTTTGTTACTTGTGGATCCCGCTTAGATTGCTTTCTTGGGTTGATTTAACTGTTAACTCCTGAGTATTTCTAATCTAATTACTTGTAATTTTTGAAAAAAAACTACGACTTTGTTCTTTCACTTGATGTGAATGACAGACACCACCAATAACCGAGGTCCATTCTTTTGAATGTTTATACTCGCAAATTGCTCGACATCTTGGGTTAATTGTTTTAATTTCATAGTTTCGCTCAAAAGTTATTTATGTGTCACAAATTTGAAACGTTGGAGCTTAAATTTCGCTTAATCTTTCGTTTGAGAGTGAAGGATTTGGACAGAAAAGAAAGAGAAAGAAGAGAGTTAATTTTTCTTTCATTTGTTAATTTTCAGTAAGAAAGAAAATAAGAAAAATGGAAGGATTTAAGAGGATGAATAATAGACAAAATTTTTCCTCCCAAATTGGAGAGAAATGGAGAGAAAGTTGAAAAAAACTTATGAAAGTTTTTTAAAATACCTATTTTGTCCTTAAAAATGTCTTGAACAAATATTTAATAACTTTTATATTCAAAATCATTCCACTAACTTTTAAAACTCCCAAACAACATAACAATTTCTTCTCTTCTCTTCTCTCGTAACTTAAGTTTTCCCTTCGCCTCTTTTCTATCCTAAGCTCCCGAACTTAGCCAAAGTCCTTAAGTGCAAATTAAGGAAAGGAATAAATTTATCTTTTTTTTTTGTCAAAATGATAACATTTGTATTGATTTAAACTTGATAATACAAGAGCACTTTACAAAAGGAGCTCATTGCTCTCATAATCTATTCTTGCTAGATCTTTAATCCAGCCAGGGAAACATGATTCCCAATATACATCATTAACTAGCTTCAAGGCAAACTTTGCTAGCCTATGACACACTTCATTCCCTTCCCTATGTATAAAAGAGAAGTTGCATTGCTCAAAAAACTCCCTCAGTTGTTGTATGTCCTCCAGTATCACAGCACAGTTGCTGTTGTTGCATGAGACGGTTAAGATACAGTCTATCACATTCTTGCAGTCTGATTGTACTTCGATTCTTCTCCAGCCTGCTGCCTTTCCCAATTGCATTGCAGCTCTAATTGCTGCAGCTTCCTCAATTTCTGGTTCCCCCAACTTCTCCTCCATTATGGCCCAAGCTTTCAGCACCTCTCCTTTCCAGTTTCTAGCCACTATTCCTTTACCAGTTCTGATCGATTGTGTTGAGATTGCAGCATCAGTATTAATCTTGTTCACACCTTCCATTGGAGGTTTCCATCGTCTATCATACTGATTTGGAGTTGCTTCAACAATGCCAGCTCTACTTTCTAGTTCCACAGCTTCCTTGAATTCTATCCACTCTTGTTGAGCTTTCCTTACCACTGAAATTTCCTCCCCTTTTGCGTTGTTGAAGACAATCTGGTTCCTTGCCTTCCATATTTGCCAGAGGAGATTAATTGTTAATTCTATATGCTCCTTGCCATTGACTCTTTGAGAAGCTTCTAAGATTCCTTCCCACCATCTCCAAAAGCAAGCCTGCAGATCTATTAATCCATCCCAGTTGATTGGACTGATTTTTCAGATTCTCTTTGCATATTCACAATCAAAGAACAGATGCTCTATAGTTTCAATTCCTTCCCCACAGCTTTTGCAAATGTTGTTCCCCATCCCTGTTCTGCCGTGCACCAAGTCATTGACTGGAAGACAGTTGTGTAGACATTTCCACATAAAATGTTTCAGTTTGTGTTTGACATTTGTTCCCCACAACTTCTTCCACATACTTTCCTTCCTGTTATGGCTACTTGTCTTCTCCTTGAGCTGCATTGTTTTAGTTGCCTGTGCCTCCATTTCCTTTGCTAAAGTATACCCTGACCTCACTGTATATTCCCCATTCTTTGAGTAATGCCAGATGATCCTGTCTCTCCTTTGGTACATACTGAGTGGTATCCTTACAATCATTTGGGCCGTCTCTCTGCTGAAAACTTGATTTATTAGCTCCTTATCCCATTGCCCTTGTTTAATCAGGTCTTTGACATATTGGATGCTTCCCAATGCTGGTCTATCATGTTCCATTCTACCATCTCTTGAAACAGGTATCCATCTGTCTTGCCACACCTTGATTGTACTTCCATCCCCAACTTGTTTTCTTATTCCATTTTTCAAAAGGAATCTGGCGCTCAGAAGACTCTTCCATAGGTATGATGCTGAAGTAGGGGCATGCTTCATCCAGTCAGATTCTCTTTTCATATATTTAGCTCTCATAACTCTACTAACAAGCCTGTTAGGCATAACAATGATTCTCCAGAGTTGTTTTGCTAGCAAAGCTGTGTTGAAAATTTCCAGATCTCGAAAGCCTAGACCACCCTTTCCTTTAACCTCAGTAAGTGCCTTCCAATTCGTCCAGTGTATTTTTCTTTGATGCTCGTCTGCCCCCCACCAAAACCGTGCCATTTGTTTACTAATGTCTCTACACATTCCTTTTGGAATTCTAAAGCATGACATTGTGTAATTTGGGAGTGCCATTATCACTGATTTCAGCAATACTTCCTTTCCAGCAAGACTCAGTAGATTTCTTTTCCAGCTTTGTATTCTCTGTGTTACACTTGCTTTTACTTCCCCAAAAACCTGATTCTTTGACCTCCCTATCACCATAGGAAGACCAAGATACTTCCCACTGAATGCTTCTCTTAGATTTCCAAGTATACTGCATACATCCTGTCGGGTATCCAAATCAGTGTTCCTACTGTAGTAGATAGCCGACTTGTCCAAGTTGATTAGCTGTCCAGACGCTCTTGCATA